ATTTTAGAAGAAATGTTGATTTGTTTTGAGTGTAGTACCTTTTTTGACCACCTGATGGCAGTATAAGACTGTTTGAACCAAAGGATGGATAGTTGAGCAGTGTGTCTCTTTAAGAAAAATGGGAGGGAGGGCCCTTGACGTGACATGGGCTGATATGGTGACATGGCGTACGCGCGGTGATTTGAGCTCTTTAGCATAGCATTTATCACACAAAGCTTTTATTAAAAAAATCAGTAAACAAGTTCTCAGCTTCTTTTTGCAGAGAAAAACAACTTTTTATATGCAGGCACGGGTTTAAACCGTGAATTTTGGAGCTTGACAAGATGGAGGTTTATTCCCGAGGTCAGCCTGTTGGCTTAGCTCGCAGCTTAGCTTCTCAGTTTAGCTACTTTTAACGATCCAAAAACACAATTGTGGACAGTTAGATTTTAAAGAGAAAAGGAGGGGTCAGTGAAAGGTAAATGAAAATGAGGTTGATAATTTTCATTCATTATGCGATTAATTGATTTATTGTTTATCACGACAGGCCTAACTGGTACTTCTCTGTAATTTATGGGATTGTTAAGGCAGCTGTCCAAATGTCACCTAGAAAGACAAAGGACCCACCCACTGACGTCACTGAAGTTTGTGGTTACGACTTTATGGGTTGCACCAGATTGCCCTCAGAATATCACACCCCAGTTTTTATAGGCACTCTCATGTTTGTCATTTATCAGCAGTATTCCCCAGAGTGTTGTACATACCTCACACTAATAATTGTTGATAGCACTTGGGACATACATGGTCTCCGGTTCAGTCTCTCAGGGGCTCATAGTAGCAGAGCATGAGAAAGCAGGGTGAAAGGTTGTGACTAGTGTGTGCATTTTAATCAGATTGTGCAGCGTCTTAATCAGGTTCAGTGGAAGTCTCTATTCATCTGAACTGAACAGCACTGACCTTCCAGCTGAGGCTCATAACCCTGACCAGAAAGAGACCCGAGCAGCCAGCTGCTCCGGTCCTGACTCCTGTATTATGTATTTTTGCCCCAACATGTGGGCTTTCACACGAGCAAACCCTCATCAGACCTGTCCAACACCGATGAATATTAATGCATATTCAAATGAGTGCTTCTACTCTGCTCTGCACACGATGGTTAATTTAAAGAGTGTATTAACACGGAGCACGTACTCCTCTTCAGTGAGAAGTTAATGACATATCTCTGAATTTTCTTTCTCCGAATTTACAACTTTAAGTAACATTTCAGCAAGAAAGTCTCCTGAGTTTAACTATTTTATAATGGAATGTGATTATTTCTTAAAAGACAGGAGATACTGTTTGTCCACCAACCAATTACCTTATGGAGTCAACCCTATTCAAGATGCCTGCCACAGCTGAACAACCTTACTAAACACAATCAGTCGATTATATAGATATTGAAATACTACTAGGGCAGCACGGTGGCGCAACTGGTAGAGCTGCTGCCTCTCAGTGAGCAGGTCCCTGGTTCAAACCCCGGTCCAGGGGCCTTTCTGGGTGAAGTTTGCATGTTTTCTCCGTGCATGCGTGGGTTTTCTCCGGGTACTCCGGTTTCCTTCCACAGACCAAAAACATGCATGTTAGGCTGATTGATAACTCTAAATTGTCCCTAGGTGTGAGTGAGAGAGTGAATGGTTGTTTGTCTCGTTTGTCTCTATGTGGCCCTGTGATGGACTTGCGACCCGTCCAGGGTGTACCCCGCCCCTCACACAGTGATTGCTGGACATGGGCACCAGCAACCCCCGTGACCCAAAATGGAAGAAGCGGGTAAAGATAATAGATGGATGGATGGATGAACTACTACTACCTCACTGTTTGATGTGGTAGTAGCTGCAAGTTATCCCAAACATATTTTAACTTTACACATTGGGCAGAAACTTTGCTTAAAATATTTGCATTAACTGTGGGAGCTGACCCTGTTTTATCTGTTACCAAAATGTCTTAGTCTCTTAATGTATTTTAATGAAACTAAGAATTTAATATTTGGATAGACATCAACATCTGATTAAATTTTGGAGACAAATCAACCTAACTACCAAATCTAATCTTGCCTAACCTTAGCAAACACAAAAACTCTGACAACCACAGCAACATTTATCAAACTGCTCATCCTCTAGTTCTTAAAATACTTTGATTGATTCAGTTCATATTGTGTCTGATGTCTGTTAAATCTCAAGATAGTGGTGAGAAAGTAAAGTGTGCAAAAAGGCTGAAAATATGATCCCAGATCAGGGTTTTTATTGTGACCACCTGCATGTGAGAGGAAGTAACCAAAAGGCTAAGAGCTCATGATGATTGTGTCTGTTTTTTTAAGTCATCTGTGCCAACTTTTCAAAAAGAAAGCCCCATCGCACACATGCACATGCAAAACCCTAGCTATATGCGTGTCCTTTTAATTCATGTCAATTCAGTTTATTTATATAGCGCCAAATCACAACAAAGTTGTCTCAGGACACTTTACAGGAACATTCACATACATAGAAAAGCCAACTAGTAAAGTTTTCTATCTAAGGAGGCCAACAGACTCGTTGAGTCTTGGCTTCATTGCAGTCTCCCATCCTGAGCAAGCACAGTGGCAACAGTGGAAAGGAAAACCTCCTTTTTAACAGGAAGAATCCTCCAGCAGAACCAGGCTTAGAACAAGCGGCCATCTGCTTTGACCGGCTGGTTTGAGAGGACAGGAAGAAGAGACAAACGAACACAGAATGGTAGGTCAAGGTGTACCTGAAAGACAAAACAATCCCACATGTTAAGGATAGAAAAAATAATTACAAATACAAAACAGGTTGAGCAGAGTAAGTAAAGACAGTAGCAGATAGGAATGTGTGATATATATGGTATACGGTAGAAACGATAGAAATTTAGCCTACGATATAGATCTGTCTTCTACCAGCTAACCGCAGTAATGCTGTGTCTGAAGTAAAATCAGAGTTGTCAGTTTACTCGTTACTTTTTTTTGTTGAAAACTGTGCGCAAGTGGCATTAAAGTCTTTTCTTCGAGAGCTAAGTAGCGAAGCTACAAGCTAACTACAGCCGGATTGCTGTAGTGTTGCTGTATTCGGAAGCATGCGCAAAACGCTGAGTTCCGTCTAAAGTTTTTTTTTTTTCCGTCGAAAGTTAAAGTAAGCGTTGGTCAGCTTTAGAGAAACCTGCAAGAACTCTGTGTTGTGTGATTTTATTGCGAGACCCTCTGGTCAAAGCCACAGTCATTTTGTGTCAGCTCTCCATTAAAGCAGAAGAAGACGCCCACTAGAGGGTTGGAGGGTGAAGTGTTTCAGTGTAAAATGCTGCTCTGTTGCTGTTCATTTCTTAAGACTGGAAACTGTTAACAGTTAACATATTATTTTGTTTAAAGCATATGGCTAAAACTACATTTGATATATTTTGCACTGTTTTGCACTACAAGAAAGAAGCATAATACTTGATTTGTTTATTATTTAAAAACTTTCTGGACCTAGTAGTGGAATTTTCTTAATTCAAAATGTATGATGGCAAAAGGACACCCTATGCTTTTTTAAAAATTCCTGTTGCAAGTTTTATACCAAAAACATATTGTGATATATATCGTTATCGCCACCCTTCACAATACATATCGTGATATGAATTTTATGTCATATCGCATATTCCTAGTAGCAGAGTGAAAAGGTGTGGTCAGTTTGTCCTCCAGCAGTCTAAGCCTATAGCAGCATAACTAAGGGATGGCTCAGGAAACCCAAGCCTACCATAACTATAGGATTTATCAAAAAAGAAAGTCTAAAGCCTAATTTTAAAACTGGACAATGTGTCAACGTCACGGACAGAATCTTGAAGTTGGTTCCACATGAGAAGAGCCTGATAACTGAAAGACCTGCATCCCGTTCTGCTTTTGGAAACTCTAGGAACCGCAAGTAAACCTGCAGCTTGAGAGCAAAGTTTTCTGTTTGGAAAAAATAAGATCTGTAATATAAGATGGTGCTAGGTTGTTGAGAGCTCTGTAGGTTAGAAGTAAGATTTTGTATTCAATTCTGGATTTGACAGGGAGCCACTGGAGAGAAGCTATAACGGGGAATTTTTTTAGTGACACATTCATATAAATATGTAACTATTATGCAACATTTAACACACAGATCAGCAGGTGACTTCTCTTAGACACCCTTGATTTGTTGTCACCAGATTTACATTCACACCTTAGTGTGAAGTTTAGTTATTCATGTCTAAAAGTATGTAATATGGAGCGTTGACTTGTTTGAAAGCTAAAGATGCCTCCATTCCTCTCTTTCTGAAAGAGCATCCAGCATCAGAAATGTACCACAAGGGGGACCAGGTAAGATCACAGGTGGCGGCTCACTTGGTCTTGTAGAGTCCTAATGGCAAAAGGGCAGGTCTCTGAGCTCTCTTGTCTTACATAGTTAATGAGGTCTTGCCTAAGCAGCTTGAGATCAAATTGCACTTACAGTATTATAGGAGCAGAGCTTTATTATGTAATAAGAGCAGAAAGTTAACATTCATGCCTTTTTTACCTTACATGTATGATTATATTCCATCACATGTACAGTCATTGCATATTTCGGTCTATTTTGGACCACTTCTTTCCTCAGTTTCTTCACTTGCGTTCAATGGCTCATACGTACAGAAAATTAATCTTAATTAGACCCTCCTTTTGATAACTAAACCATTATGGAGCTTCCGTTTTTTAAAAGCATGTCTCTAAGAAGGAGATGAGGAGGCGTCAATCTATTGGGTGTCATTAGAACTGGCCAACAGTCTGGAAAGACACCTGGCAACCTTCCCTCCCAACAGACCCACAGACACATGCATGCACACGTTTGATTCAGCCAACTGGGAGCTCTTTATTATTCAGCAACACTTAGTGTTGAAAAGCCTTAAACTGTTCCACTAAAAGCAACAATCATCTCTCACAAAGTCCATTAGAAAAAAACAACTGACTTCTTATATTGATCACTGACATATTTTCTTTCTTTGTTTTCTGTTTTTGGTTCTAACAGAACAGCCAAATGGTGGAGCTCCAGAGAAATCAGCTGCGGGATGACATCAAGGAGTACAAGTTCCGGGAGAGTCGACTGCTGCAGGACTACACAGAGCTGGAGGAGGAGAACATCTCGCTGCAGAAACAGGTCTCCATGCTCAAACAGAGTCAGGTGAGCTTGGTCTACATCAGCTCTGAGAACAGCGAGATTATAGTTGGAAAATGATGCAGGATTATTAAGGGAAGAAGACTAGCACAACATCCCTCTCTTGATAAATGGGTGGTTACTTCTGGTTGTTATCATGTTGTTTCTTTAATTTGGTTCAATTATGAAAGTTACCACTCTGATGTAAATAAAACCTAAGCTGCTGCCTTTTTTATCTGACTGAAGCTGACATATATTTGTCAGGCTTTTTGTCAAAGTAACTTAGGTCTTGGAAAAATCAAATGTTTCATGTGTACACCCAAGTACTTGTAGCTTGAGACCACTTCCACTGCAGATCCTCTTATGTTCAGGGGTGTGTAGGTGTTTTTGTTCCTTCTGAAGTCCACAATCATCTCCTTTGTCTTCTTCACATTGATGTGAAGGTTATTCTCTTTGCACCAGCTCTCCAGGTGTTCCACCTCTTCCCTGTAGCTGGACTCATCATTGTTTGTGATGCATCCCACCACCGCTGTATCATCTGCAAACTTTACAATGCAACAGCCTGGATGGGTAGCTGCACAATAATACGTGAGCAGAATAAACAGGAGGGGGCTCAACACACATCCCTGAGGAGAGCCAGTACTGAGGGTTATGGTGAAGGCATTTTTGGCTGAGATATGACCGTTTTCATTCATTCTAACTGAAAATATTTAACACTACCATTTTCAGCCGCTAAATGGCAGTCAAGCAGTATGGCATGCCATTGTCTCATGTAATAGGTAAAAAGTGGCTATTAATGACGCAATCGGCTTGCCTCCTTTGTCCAGCTTGCCTGGAGCAACCGTCAAATCAGCTTCATTTCACTGCGCTGTCCCGGTGAAATGCAGCTAATTTGACCATTGAAGTGCATTTATTAAGTAAAATTTCAACTGAGACACACCTTTACTATAAGGTCAAGCAAACCAATAATTGTTTTATGTGGTTATCTTGTTAAATTTCGAAGAAATGCACAGCGCGTTGCCCTTTGCGCGTTCCTATTTCCCCATATCGGCTTTTGAAAATGCAGCTGATTTGACCGTCAAAGTGCATTTATTAAGGAAAAGTTCAACTGAGACACACCTTTACTATGAAGTTGAGCAAACAAATGATTGTTTTTAAGTGTTAATCTTGTTAAATTCTGGTTAAAGTCCTCCCGTGCACGCTCCCGCAGCCGCCATTTGACAGCCAATCGATTTTTGGCACAACGCCGGCTCACATTTCCGGGTTGTCAGCGGTGACGCATAACAAACGCGATGCGTTAGTGGTGACGCATGATAGATGTGACATATATGGCAAAGCAACATATTTATGGATTTTCCCACTTTATTAGACATATTTGGACTGATGTGACTGATGTGACTGGTGCGACGTGTACGGTGGAAAATACGGTAATGTTTGTGTAATGCTCTGAAAATATAAATTGTCTACTTCTGCTCACTGTCCAGGTGGAGTTCGAGGGTTTAAAGCATGAGATCCGTCGTCTGGAGGAGGACACCCAGTTTCTGAACAGCCAGTTGGAGGATGCCATTCGCCTGAAGGAAATCGCTGAGCGGCAGTTGGGAGAGGCTCTGGAGACCATCAAAACCGAGCGAGAGCTCAAGGCGTCCCTGAGGAAAGAGCTCTCCCACTACATGAGCATTGGAGACTCTCTGTACCACAGGTAAACGGCACGTAAACAAGGTGCTTCCATACATCGTTAAAAACAGCAAAGCTCACGGCTTTTTCTCCCCTCAGTCCTCTCAGCCTTTCTCTGGATGGTCTCAAGTTCAGCGACGATGCGGCCACCGAACCCAACAACGACGAGGCTCTGCACGGATACGAAAATGGCTTCAGCAAACTTGCCAGTACCATCACTGACGACAACCGCATGTCCGAGCCCAAGAAGGAGGCGCTCTTCCACCCTGCGCCCAGCCTGGTGGACGACATACTGAGCGAGCTGAACATCTCAGAGATCCAGAAGCTCAAACAGCAGCTGATGCAGGTCAGTGTTTACTTCCATCACGAGACACTGCAGCCAGTTTAACGACACTGTACCACGTAGCTGTTATCTTCTGGTATTTATATAGTTTTCTCTTTTAAGAGCAGAAGCTGTATGCATTTGATTTAAAGATTAATTTGAAGATGTGTGACACAGTGAAGTGTTTTGCTGTATCCTGCTCCAGTCTGCTGCGGGCTTCTAAATCCCATTACAGTAAAGTTAATCCAAAGAGACGCGCACGTACATAACTTCAGGCTCCGGTGGGCCCTCGAGACAGCAGGTGGTGGCACCAGACGACCCACCATCTGCTGGCTCATCTCAACAAGGTCACTTATGTTTGGGCACCATGGTCACCAGAAAGTCCCGTGGATAGTGACTGATTTACAGACTGTGATGTAGTTTCTCTCCATTTATTAAACCCCAGCACACTTGCTGGATTAACAGGAAACGATAAGGTGCATCATTTGTGGTCCTCTATTTGATTACTGTGATGAAAGAACCAATAAGAATTTGATAAAATCACCAGTTTGTGTTGCTCATTAAAGCTTTCTGACAGGTCGTGCTGCAGATTTCTTTCAACAAAAAGAAGAAGCAAGAAGGGTTTTGTTAAGTGATATCCTAAAGCAATGCTAGAGTCATTTGTTTCCATCAGCATAGCAAGATTTACTAAACATTCCTTGAATCTCTATTATTCACCTATCGGTTTCTGAAACAGCTCCACATATGTTCATGTGTTGAAGACGACCCATCCATGGTTGAGGTGACTAAGCTGAAATGAGTCCAGCAAATTGTTCGGGTCACCTTGACCCTGATGCTGAACTAGCTGGCATAGTTTGATAGTGTCATCCTGACAAGAAAACCGATCCTCCTCTGATTTAATGGTATCTGCTTTACTAAGCATGTAAATCTAGTTGCCAAATAAAATCATGGATGATAAGTGCAGGACGTCTTATTGCTTGTTGTGTCTCTTCATTTTTATTTTTCCTCAGATGGAACGGGAGAAGGTCAACCTGCTGTCCAATCTGCAGGACTCCCAGAAACAGCTTGAGCAGGCTAACGGGGCTCTGTCAGATCATCAGGAGAAAGTCAACCGCCTCACAGAGAACCTCAACGCTATCCGCAAGATCCAGGCCAGCAAAGAGCGCCAGTCCGCTCTGGACAACGAGAAAGAACGTGACAGCCACGAGGACGGAGACTACTACGAGGTGGACATCAACGGACCTGAAATCCTGGAGTGCAAGTACAAGGTCATTAACTGGCTGCTTGGAGTTTGGAAGTGACAACTTCTTATTAAACTAATCGGACAAACTATAAAACTTTACCGTAATTTCCAGACTATAGAGTGCACCCGAATATAAGCAGCATACACTAAATAATAAAAAATAAAAAAAGTTTTTACATATTTAAGTCACACTTGTGTATATGCTGTGGGTGTCCACGTTGTAACATGAGATATTTACACACAAAGTTTTTTAAACTTTTCATTAAATATGTACCAGTAACATACACAAATACGTTCAGTAAATGTTTATTTCTGAACAATGCCTTTAACACGGCTGGTTAAAAAACAAACAAATCAGGGAAAGTCACTGATCGCTATGTTCATCTTCCTCTTGTGCACTAAAACCACTAAAGTCGTCTTCGTCAGCGTCACAATTGAACAGCCTCAGAGAAACTTCATCACACACGTCCTCAGTCTCTTTCGTTGTCAAAAAATATACATTAGTCTACCAGGAAGTCATTGATCGCTACCTTCATATTCCTCCTTGTTTCATAGGTTCGACCAGTCCTTCTCAAATAGTGGGGCGCGCCCCCCCTGGGGGGGCCCGGGGCGATGCCAGCGGGGGCGCATGTGACCCCGGGGAACATGCTTTTTTAGCTGGAGGGAGTTTTTTTTTTTTTTTTTTTTTTCCCCCACCACTCTCATTTTGTCGCTTGCGTTCCGGCAGCTGTTTGCTCGTATCTCTCCGGCTTACTAATAATAAAGTTATGAACAAATAACTGTCTTGTTGTTTTGGGAGCCATGCTTGAACCGTGTCGCTCCCCTCTGCTGCTGACACGATAAATAACTCCGACACCTCCACTGCTGTTTTTATGACCATGCATCTGGCCGTCACTCACAGCGCGCATGCAACAAAGAGAAAACTCAAAGCGAGAGCGACACCTGTCCGTTCTTTCCTCTTTCGCGTTGACAAAATGTTTTAGTTTTATCGATGAGTGCGCTCATTGATCCTGACTTCCTCATTTTGATTTAAAAAAAATCGGCACAAATTGTTTTATTCATTTTTGGGTTTTTTAGGTCAAAGTGTTTTATATAACACGCCTGAGTTAAAATGTTGCTGGTCATTTTGAATTTATTATTATTTATTGATTGTAGATGAACATATATCTGTGATATATTCATAAATTAAACGGATTCATTCATTTTTCTGGACTGAATAATATCGTGCATTGAAATTAAATGTGACGTGAGACGTTAATTTTCTTTGACCCATCAAATGAATGCGGTCATTTATTAACAGAATCAAAGTTTAACATCACACATTTACATTAATTTGGCAAATTGATTTCAACAACAGCTTAATTACTTAGCTTCACAACTAGGAAACCATAAACATGGTATCCTTGCAGCTTTACAACAGACATTTCTGAAAATATCTGGATTAATTACTGGCAGGATAGAAGAGTTTTAAAGAGGGAAAATGAAGTTTATCTTGAGAGAGATGGGTGAGGGAATTTGTCTGTTATAACCAGAACAACACGCTCCTTTGGACCCAGCTTAACCAACGGTACACTTTGCGGTTGAAGATCGACTCTTTTACCTTTGCAGACGATAGTTCGGCCTCGGTGTAGAGTTCTCTTTCAACGCTTTTCAGCGTCTCCGTAAGGATAGTAGGGAACCGTTCGGAGTCGTGAGATCATCCCAGAACAGACTTCTTCATAGTTCCTCTGAACTTCTCTCGTTCAGCTTAGTTGCCGTTGTTCTCCAGCATTCTGAACTCTGCATTCTCTCTCCGCACTCTCTGCTGGAACTAGGAAGTGTTGAACCTTTTAAAGAGGTCACTTCCGGTTCCTCTGAGAGCTTCCTGATTGGTCGATTGACCGAACAGGAGGTGGTTTTAGTGATGTAAGAGGTTATTAAAAGTCAAGGAAAAAGATTAAGTTTGTTTAAGAACAGACAGAAGATGTTTTGAAGAACCTGAGACTTTGTGGAGTCAATTCTCTCATATCTGTCTGAAAAAGTTAAACATGACATTTCTTTCCAGTAAACTTGTAGTTGACCGAAACTTGACCTTTGACCAACTTACACTTGCTCATTTCAGACAGAAGATCAAGAAAATGAATAATTACTCTGTAACACATTTTAACTTGATTTCTACTTTGAATGAGGATTAAAAATCATTAATACTGTTTCACAGTTGATTTAAAATGAGTAGTTCACTTCAACATTTAAAAATGGTTTGAACTAAACACACTTTTGATTATCACGACATTTGTAAAATAGTAATGATAATAAAAAAGAGAGTGTTCTTTCAATTGATCAGTGCAGGACACTTAGAAAGTCTCTGGATGAACTTAATTTTGTGTTTCTGGACTCAAATCAATGAAATAACAGTTCTTGTCCCAGGAAGGCCCTCAAGGTCAGGATTTGACCTGAGGCTTAGTTCACTACATGATTATATTTAATTTTATTTTTCAGGATCAAATGGTCAAAATGTTATAAGGATTTAAGTTTAGTTTTTTCGGTGAGTTGGTGGGGGGCAATGTTTACGTCTTCCTTGGGGGGGGGGGGCATAACGGAAAGTAATTGAGAAGCACTGGGTTCGAATGACCTGTTTGGTAATTTCATTGGTCAGATTTGTTTATTTATTTTAACCTTTATTTATACAGGTAGTCTTATTGAGTTGCAAGGACCCACCCCCCAAGAGAGACGTGTATTGGGCAGCAATGTGAGCACCCGGGTGTGACGAAGCTAAACGTTTTTGGTGGCATTAAGCTCATTAGCCCGTTAAAAAAAAAAAAAATCCATAAATTAACCGCGGGGTTCAAAGCCTGTGGAAAACAGTAGCGGCTTATAGACCAAAAAGTACGGTACTTTTTTCCCCCCCCCCCACATTCAGAATATGATTTGTGCTTTTTGCAGGTGGCTGTGTCTGAAGCAGGAGAGCTGAAGGAGGAACTGAAGACTCTAAAAACAGAATACCAGGCCTGTCAGTCACGTTACGAAGAGGAGCGCACCCGTCTGGAGCATGAGGTCACCACTCTGGGAGATAAACTGGCCACACTGGAGAAGACGAGCCATGTGGAGAGGGAGGAGAAGGCCAAGATGGAGAAGGAGCTGCGCAAGGTGAGATGTTGCTTTATTGTTATTTTTTTAAATGTCTTACTTTTAGGAATAAATTGTCGTTTTGCTTTCGAACAGATGGGTAATAAATTGTTTTCTTTGTGTATGTCAGTTGAGCGACGTTGCAGGCGAGTCCCAAGGTAGCCTGAGTGTGGCTCAGGATGAGCTGGTAACCTTCAGCGAGGAGCTGGCCACCCTCTACAACCACGTCTGCATGTGCAACAACGAGACGCCCAACCGTGTCATGCTCGACTTCTACAAAGAGGGGAAGGGTGGCCGGAACAGCCCGGAAGGCCGTGGTCGCCGCTCTCCCATTCTGCTCACCAAGGGCCTCTTCCCAGAGCCTTACAAGACCGACGCCAGCGACGGAGCCCTCTCACCAGGCTCCTCCATACCTTCTCCTGTATCTGATCACCGGCGCGAGCCCATGAACATCTACAATCTGGTGGCTATCATCAGAGACCAGATCAAACACCTTCAGCTGGCTGTGGATCGCACCACGGAGCTGTCGCGCCAGAGGGTGGCCTCGCTCGAGCTCGGCACCGTGGCCGACAAGGACAAGGAGGCCTGCATGGAGGAGATCCTCAAGCTGAAGTCTCTGCTCAGCACCAAGCGGGAGCAGATTGCCACTCTGCGCACCGTGCTCAAGGCCAACAAGCAGGTTGGTTGATCTCTCTTGCCTGATAAGGTTTGTGTCACCTCAGTCTTAGTAGCACAGCACCTGAAAGACAGAAACAGGGGAAGAGGGAGCTGTTCAGGTCCATTCAGCTGTTGCAGTAAACAGACTGCAGGCATGATCTGAAACAGTCTCTAATGGAGACAGCAGTCATGTGGTGCCAGATGCTCTGAGTGTCTGTGTTTAGGTTAAAGGAGCAGCCCTGCAAAGAGCTGTAGCCATGAGGGTGGGTGTGTACGCAGTTGCTTTGGTAGCTTTTAAACTATGCAAGTGGCTACTCAGGGACCATTAATACACAGTTCAAAACAAATCATAAACCTAGTATTTTACCCCAACTGAACAAGCCTCTGGTATGCTTTAATTAGTGTACGTTGTAGGAAAACTAATTGTCGGATGCAGACTTCCTTGGACAAACCTGAACCTTTTGTTCCCTCTTGTTCCCCCCCCCCCACAGACAGCTGAAGTTGCTCTGGCCAATCTGAAGAGCAAGTATGAGAATGAGAAGGCCATGGTGACAGAGACCATGATGAAACTGAGGAACGAGCTGAAAGCTCTGAAGGAAGACGCCGCCACCTTCTCTTCACTCCGAGCCATGTTTGCCACACGGTAAGAATTGCACCGCCGCTTTCAGAGCAGACGGTAAAATAAAAGTGTGTCCTGAATCCCAGAACAAAGTCTGCTAAGAGCATGCAGTTAAACAGCAGACTGGTGTCTAGTGTCGCACACAGAAGCCTCACAAGCTATCGCCAGGTAGGTAAAGACTGGATTATTGTCATAATTTAATCTGCGTTTACCATATGCTGTCTGTCTGGTCTGATTTTTTTTTAAATTATTATTATTATTATTATTATTACATGACCAACATGTATTAGTAATTATATGGTTTGCCACAGAATGTATCAATCTGTGTGGTGGTTAATATGTGACGCCTGCGTTGTTTTTGATCAGTGACCTGGTGTGTGAGGCTCAGATGGACCGACACACTCGCTAATCTTCTCCGACTCCCTGAAGGAGCCGGTCAAAGGTCGTGTCCATAATCCCACTTTATCTTGCTGTGGATTATACATTCAACACATAGTAGACTAAGTCCTCACACACTGCTTGTTTGTTTGTTTATGTGGGGACACAGTTATGTTTATTTTGAACAGTATTTCCTCTCCATGTATTTTCATGATTATTTCTACTTGAAAATATTAGCTCCTTCCCACACGACGTCATGCTGAGTCAGTCTTTCTTGGTGCATTTAAGGCTGCTTAACGAGATGAGAGTGCTCGGATACGGTGTTGTATGATTAAAGTTGCAGAGAGAGTCGTCCGCTGAGAAGCCCTCGAGTTACTCTGCTGAAATTCAATATTTCTGCAGAGTAACTCCATACACCTGCAGAGTCTGATCTGAAGTCGTCTGGTGCACCATATGGGCCGAAGTGCTACAGGAAAACGTACTTATTTGCAAATTGTGCAAAAAAGAAATTAAAAATTCTAACTGAAAACCAGATTGCACCAACCACTGGTGAACTCCATGAGCCCTGGAGTAGTAGTGCTTCTTGTCATCCTCCTCCATCAAAAGCAACAGAGTGATGTTTTGTGGATCTGTGTGTTATTGTTTATCTCTAGTGTTAGCAAAATATCCCGTGCTCTCGTGAACAGATTTTAACTGAATAAGTAGTCAATAGATGCACATGTGCAACTACCGTATTTTCCGCCGTATTCGTCGCACCGCCCTATAAGTCACATCAGTCCAAATATATCTAAAAAGTGGGAAAATCCATAAATACGTTGCTTCGACATATAAGTTGCATCTGTCACCGCTGACAGCCCGGAAATGTGGGCCGGTGTTGTCGATTGGCTGCCAAACGGTGGCCGCAGGAGCGTGCACGCACTGGAGGACTTTAACGAGAATTTAACAAGATTAACGCTTAAAAACAACTATTTGTTTGCTCGACTTTATAGTAAAGGTGTGTCTCAGTCGAACTTTTACTTAATAAAAGGACTTTAACGGTCAAATCAGCTGCATTTCAAAAATATTTGCAGCCTCTGTGCTCCAGGAGTGCGCAGAGGGAGAAAATCAAGGAGGAACACTGCACATTTCTTCGAAATTTAACAAGATAAGCACCTAAAACAATTATTTGTTTGCTCGACTTTGTAGTAAAGGTGTGTCTCAGTTGAACTTTTCCTTAATAAATGCACTTTAATGGTCAAATTAGCTGCAATTCGCCGGGGCGGCGCAATGAAATGAAGCTGATTTGATGGTTGCTCCAAGCGAGCTGGATGAAGGTGGGAGGCTAAGGCAAGCTGACTGTATCATGAATAGCCACTTTTACCTATTAAAACTGGGACCCTGTGTACATAATCTCGTTCCACCACATGTACCACATGAGAATGAAACCACATGAATGACAAATAAATCTCTCTGACTCTGACTGATATGACACAACGGCATGCCATACTGCTCGAGTGCCATCTAGTGGCTGAAAATGGTAGTGTTCAATTATTTTCAGTCAGAATGAATAAAAATGTTCATATCTCAGCCAAAAATTGGTTTATAAATATGGGAAGAAATCCATAAATAAGTCGCTTCACTGTATAATAATAATAATAATAATGTCATCACAATGTCAGCACTGTATGTTTTCATACAATGGCGAAATTAGTCTCTGCATTTAACCCATCCACCACCAGGTGGTGCAGTGGGCAGCTATTGAAAGCGCCCGGGGGACATTTTGGGGATGAGACGTGCTGCCCAGAGACGCCACGTGATGTGCAGTGAAAGTCGCAGGGCATGCAAATTATGCAATTAAACTGTGACTTATGGGCCAAAAAATATGTTCCTTAACTTTTGGAGTCAAACCAGTTCAAGTTAGTCGTCGGTCAATTTACTTTTTCAAAAAACAAAGATAGGTTTAATTCAGTCAGTTTTACAGATGTTGTGCTAATATTTGGTGTGATAGTAGCTGAGCATCACCCCATCATTCCTCCACGTGCAAAGTCTATTTCCACACATGAGTCTTGTTCCTGAGCCCCCTGCCTCACTTGTCCACCACTATTGTAGAGTTACATTCAGTCTGTTTATGGATTCGTGTATTGGTATGTAAATTCAGTCCTATAAGGCCCAGAGTTGGGTCAGGGGCCTTTTTGAAAAGCGGAGGGGACTTGCCCGAGTGAAGTTTCCCACACTGCCCCCCCTCCATCCCACTCCTTTGTTTGCCTTCGTTCTTCCGTCCTTCCTCCAAAGCGAGCGCACGGTTCTTCAGTCGTCAGGAGGAGCTCCTCTGCAGGATCTGAGTTTCCCAGAGTAATCACCTCTGATGGTGTGTAAAGATGGAGATGGGAGAAGCTCTCGCACCATGGACCTCCGTGAAGGGGGAAGAGAGCAGTGAAGTGCAAAGGATGTTGAGTTTTCATTTGATCTTACTTTACTCACTTCTTCTTGAATTTGGTACTGTGAGAATCTGATGAAAGACACATAGGCTTAAATGGTTTTCTGTGTGTGTGTGTCGTCTTTGTTTCTGTCTGTGTGTGTGCAGTCGGTGGAGTCATGTTCACAGTAAACCAGCCTCGAACATTCCTGAGACGTGCCTTGGCATGCCTTATTCTCCCACAGATTAAGAGTCAAATCATTATCTGATCTTGTTCTTCTCCAAACTGCACTTTGTAACTTACAGTATTTGTTTGACCCACTTTTCTATTTTCTTTATTTTTTTCTATTTTCTTACCTATTCTATCCTAATTTTTCTCTGTGTGTTCCCACTTGGACAGCCAAGATCACAGCTGATGATGGTTCAGTGTGCTGTGAGGGCATTATTTCTCATAAATAATCTGTATATAAATTATTTAACTGGCACAGGATCATAAAGAATGCACATAATGCAGTTTTTGTTTGTCAAAGTTGGCCAGTATTCATCCTCAGCAGACCAGCAGCCACCTCCTGCTTCTCTTCCTTTATTGTGCCGTAGCGCTTGATCAGCAGCCCCCCACCCCACCCCACCCACCCACCCCAAATTTAAAGCCCCGTCTTTTTTTTCCCGGGAAAATCACACGGCCTCCCACCAAAGACGGACTGAACTGTCTGAAGAGACATCAGCACCCCACACCCGCCCAGCGAGCGTTGTTCCCCACACAGGGTTTAATGAAGTAGCACTGATCCCCTTTGTATGGATGTGTGTGTGTGGGAGTGTGTGTGTGTGTGTCCCAGTGACTGAAGCAGCACACACAAGAAGGGTAGGACATGGTTAGTGTGGTGGTCTGGCTGGGGCAGAGTTCACATGGACAGCAACCACGTGCAGCTCAGCACAAAACAAAAACATCTGTTTTCCCAGTGACCGCCCTCGTCAACAAGGTTTTTCCCAAACCAAATATTTTACAGAGATTTTGAGTGGTCTAACTTGTTTTTTTATACTTTTAGTTTATACTTTAAACAGCTTTTTTAAAAAGTATCCTTGTCCTGATGCAATAAAAATGTAGAAAAGCAGGAAAAATTTGTCTTGAAATGTGAAACACAAGTCTGAAATGTGCTAAAAGAATGTCATCCTGGTACGTTTTTTAAATGCAGACATTAATGAATTTACTTATAATTAATATTTTATTTATAAGTGGGGGTTTTTTTCAAGCAGTTGCTAATTACTGACAAAAAAGAACCAAATCATGCACTATTGCATGTGCAGACATTTAAAAAAATTTTACCAAGTGATAAATCAGGTTTCCGCAATTATTTTCTGAGCCTAAATCAATTTGTGGAATAAAACTTGAGTTTTCTGTTCCCAAATAAAATAAAGGATTTTAATGCCAGTTAAATAAAATGAAGACGGGTGATATTTGTCAGCTAAATTAAATCAGAATCTGTTCAGTTTGGGATTAAAAAGGTCAAGATGAACCTCTCCCTTCAAGGAGACCGCTGTGAATCCCTCGTGTTGTGTCAGCCACACAGAAAGAACGGATGTCAGAGAATGGATGAAACGAGCAGAATGATAAAAACAACAGCAAGAAAATGATTTAGAGGCTTTAGAGGAGCGATAAAGCCCAGAAGAGAGGATGAAAATGAAACAAAATTGCTGCAACATCAGTTTAGATAGAAAGCACCTCATAATCCTGACAGGTGACCCAGACCTGCCTGTCGGTTGGTGATGCTGCACAAAGACTCCATTATTTTGAGCTTTTTGGCACAAAGATGGAGAGAACTGAGGCTGTTTCACTCAAACCAGAGAACTGGAGATCAGATGTGAAGATGCTTGAAAAAAAAAAACCCATTATATTCTTCCATGTTTATTTCACTCCTCGTCTACTCAGCCTGTTCCTCAGGCGACACAAAATGACCACTGGGTTAAGTTATTAAAAAAAAATAGCAAGGATGTAGTGTTCAGATTGCAGAATAATAATCTTTTTGATTATAATATGTGTACTTTTCACTAAAAATAATAATTTTTAAACACCCTGGTTGATGCAATTTGGTGGAGAGAGCTGAAATGTCTGATGGAGTCAGAGGTTAATATTGCAGGAGCTCGTTCAGTGTCCAGGCCTGTGCTCGGTGGCTCAGCGGCTCCACCTGGTGGTGACAAAAACAACTACAGCCAAGTGAAAGATCCAAATCAAAGGGCTTCAGCTTCTGGTTTAGTTTTTAATCATTTAGCATTGCTGAGAGCGTCTCATACATACGGTCCTACTAAGCATGCGAGGTTGCAGCGATGTGAACGGTAATGTTTTTGTACGTGTGTCTGCCCGTTACCAAAATATCTCAAACCACTGGACTGATTTAAACGAAACTGTCAGAGTCGTCATTGGATGTACATTTACCACCGATGAACGCAGGAGTCGGCTTGATTCAAGATGGCCACCACAGCCAACCGACCTTCAAAAAATACTTATAGCTATATTTTGACAATTTTACTGACGCATCTACAATTTGGTGTGGTAGTAGTTGAGAGAATACACTTTCTAACACTAGAAGATTGAAAAGGATCTTTGTTTAAAATTGTTCCAAAAACTATTTGGAGTCAACTCTGTCTTTTAGCAAAATATCTCATGAATAACAGGACTGATTTTACTGAAACCTTCAGGACATGATCATTAGATCTACTGTAAATCAACAAATAATTAATTGTTTAAGCCGATCAAACTCAACTTGGCCAACACAGCTAACTGACCTTATTAAACTAAAAAAAAAAAGCCCTTAACTCAGTCAGTTTTACTAATAATGAGCTAAATATTGGTGTGGTAGTTGCTAATATTCACTGAATGTGACATCTTTAAATAATGCATGAGATTATGAACAGCAATATTTCCAAAGAGTGACCACAATAGCTGCAACTTTGTCATTTTGCAGCGTAGATGATTTCAGTTTACATCTCTGACATGAACAACGGTGGCTGATATGCATTACTTTAAGGAATGCAAGGCTTTTAATTAATGAAATAAATAATAAAGATGTAAATCTTTTTGTTTTGGAAGCCAGTGCTGTTGCAGTATTACCTGAGAAAACCTCTGTTCCACTTCAGAGTGAGCGTTTGTCTCCGACTTCACAGTTTTCCTCTGGTTTTCTCTTGCAGTTGCGATGAATACGTCACCCAGCTGGAGGCCATGCAGAGGCAGCTGGCTGCAGCCGAGGATGAAAAGAAGACCTTGAACTCTCTGCTGCGGATGGCCATCCAGCAGAAGCTGGCCCTGACGCAGCGTCTGGAAGACCTGGAGTTCGACCACGAGCAGACCCGCCGAGGAGGCGGCGCAGGCCGCGCCAAGGTGCGCAACAGGCCCGTCGGCAACAAACCCCACGTAAGTCAGAGTCTCACGTGCTCCAGCTCCAGCCGGCCGGAGCCCAACAACGCTCTGCCCAACGGCATTCTGGGAGGCCCCGTCGTCTTCTGCAGCGAGAAGTACAAGATCTACTGCGACTGAGAGGCGGCTGAAACGCCTGCATGGACTGCTGTGTACAGAGGGGATGGGGGGTGTCACACCCTCCCTGCCCTTAGTGTTAAAGAGCCCCACTCGCTCGCTTCGCTCCCTGGCCAGCCCACGCTCCTTTAGGGACCGCTGTGTTAACCGGCTGCTCGTTCGTGTTGTTGTTGACGCTTAGGGGAATGCCGATGTGTGTACAGTGTGCACTAGACGTTTGGACTGCAGTAGACATATTTGGCATGTGGGGTTAAGGGCCTCGGTTATGTTGGGGGTTGTGGATATTATGGGGTGTCTATTCTTTCCACTGTCACGGTGCTGTACATTTGATGTTAAAGGTGTCTGTTCGTCCTGGCCTCCCGGTGGCTTGCCTGGTAACATAAACACATTGTGTGGGGTGGAGGCTCGTAAAGATGATGTCACTCTTTCGGTCTTGAGACTGAATGACATCCTCGCTTCTTTTAGGCATGTCTGTTGGCATTGGTGCTCCTTTGCTGAGGGGGGGGGGGGATAACCCCCAACTCCCTTCTTTCTCTCCGTCTTGGCCAGGACTGACCCGTGTCCGGCTGACCTCTTAATCAAGGGACTCTTCAGTGTTTACAAGAAACATAAACTAAAATATGCAAGCTCCTCCTGCTTCATCGCTAGGGGAGCAAAATATAAATCTATATAAATTTTAACAAGGGCGGGTCAGTGGTTTTATAACGACATATTATGGGCATAAAAGGAGCACCTGTGACCGCAGGTGTTTATTTCAGGATCATTTTAAAGCTGTGATGCTAGCACACCAATACAATAGGGTAAATAGAATTGCATGGCTTTGCAGCTTATGAGCTTTTTACCTATTTTTCCCTCCTGTTGTCAGGCGTGTGCTACAAGATGAACTCGTGTGCTGCGGGTTCTACGTTGTGAGTATAAATAAGGGTGAATTGGGGTAAGGACAAATCGAAGAGGGCTACGCATTCCATTCGGCCCGGTGCGTTGCGACAGGTCTGTTCAGAGCCATGCTTAAAGAAAGAGAACGTTTCGACAAATCCATGTTCACGTCCAAATTAAGTGCACTTCAGCTCAGGTGCCTCAGGTTCCTCGTCTTTCTTCTGAAATGGTAAAACACGATGACTGTGAACAGAGATACAATATAGTTTTGTTTGTCCGAATGACTATTTTTTAACTGCGAAGCGAAATCTACAAGAGCACAAATAAAAAAAACGAATAATTAAAAAAAAAAGATCTGGATAATGGACCTGCGAACAAAAATTAAACCGCTCGGCGGAAGTGCCTGTCGAACACAAACACCTGACGTGTTTCTGTGCCGATGTAAAGCCCTGTTCTTGTCTCGCTGTCTCCCTCTGTGGTTTTGTTGGGACACTGCTCAGAGCTGTCAAATCATCGGTTATGCAGCTAAAGACGAACTCTAACGTGCGTCTTATAACGTCAACCATCTCCTGAAGACCGTCAGCAGCTTGCTCCCCCCTGCATCACCCTTAGATCACAGAGTTGTGGGGCAAAGTTCCCCCTGAATATTTCTGTCAGGTAACGTCCTCGCATTCTCGATGTGTGTATCTCTGTGTTGAAGTGAATGGGCCACACGTTTGTGTGTGCGTGCTACATTTTTACCCATTGCAGATGGACGGCCTGTCATTTCTCCTTGTTGTTCGGAGTGTGAGGACAACAATGTACTGTTTTAGTATTAACAATAGCTTTAAACCATTGCAAGCTAGTATTAAGCAAACTATAAAGTGGGGCTCGTGTGTTTTAATACATCCATGTACTGCTTGTGGATCATGAACACGTTAGCTTTACGACGCTAAAAGCAGGGTTGATGTAAGTAAATCCTGCAAGACGTTCTTTTAATCAGCGTTTTCTAACACGATAAAGCTATATATCTATATTCCTAAATGTGTTCCATTCAGGTCGCGATCTTGCAGGATCCTAATATCAGCGTTCGTTCCGTTTGAGCGCGTTTAGGCGTTTCAAAACGGAACGCTGTCGGCGGTCAACCCTGCTTCAGTGTGCATCCATAAGCCGCAGCACAAACAGCATGAAGTCGAGGTTGTTGTGCACATCAGAGAGAAAACATGAGAACAAATCAGCCTCGTTTAGAGGTCAGTCGCTCCCATGTTTGATTTTTACTCAACATACGAGTACATGTTCTGTCAGTTTGTGCTGATTAGAGAGAAGAAGGTGTGCGGAGTAGAGGGAGGCCTACTCGTGTTCTTAAACCAGCTTTGGAGAGAGAGGAGGTCAGACAAAAAAACAGATGTTTGTCTGAGAGATGCTGTGGAAAAATACGTCCAGGATTAAACTGGTGATGCTCGGAGAAAACCAGTAAGAGGTTTGGGACCTTGATTCAAATGATGTGAGCGCGCTCCCTTTGTACAGGCTCCGTGGCTTCACCGAGCAGTAAATAGGTCTCAGGATGTGATCGTGTCTAGACTCTCCTGTCCTTAGATAGATGGATTCTAACGTAGCTCCATGTAGTTTCAAATCGACGTCTGGCCTGTCTGGTGTCAGACGAACAGCTCCTCCTACCTCTGCCTGCAGGCTCACCCCTCTTCGCCTCTCACGTTTCACACCATGCACAGTTTCTGCTTCGTCCTCAGCCTGCACGTCGAAATCAACTCGGTTTTTCATTAACCTGCATGGTGGATGAGAGAGCCTCGTCTCCTTTGAGCTGGGCGTTATTGTTGTTTAGTCAAAATAAAAGTTCGTGGTGCTTGTGAGCGGACGTGCGTTCAGAAACGCGTCGACGTTGTTGCTCCTTTGACCAACTCCCGACTTGTGTGGCCTCAGACTACCATCCAAAAACAAAAAACAAATTCTGATTGTTTCTGCTTCTCCATTTTGCAGAATGTACAGTATTTCTGTACACGTACGTGTGTCACTCTGGCCTCACAGTGGAAGCACGTTTCTCACAAGTTCAGTGAACAGTTTTTGAAGCGGAGATTGTGATTGGCTAATCTACCCATCCAGTGAGAAGCCAGGGGAGATGTGGTGATTTCTCAGTGTCATTTTTTAATTTTTTTTTATTATAACTTTTAGTTTGTTTGTTTTAACCTGTGCACTTTCATTATATAGGATTATAAAATGCTATTATTATTATTAATCTAATAGGAAAGCATGGTAGTACTATGGTTTGTGAGTTATCCAGTTTATATAGATTATAAACTAATCCGTCCATTTGAATTACCGTATTTTCCGGCGTATAAGTCACAGGGTTTTTTGTATCGATTTGTCAGTCCTGCGACTTATATACATTTTTTTTAATATATTCATGACGCTATTTTTGACTGACACTTTAAATTTCTAAGAACTGAAACAGCGAGTCCTCCCGTGCACGCTCGCTTCACTCAGCTGGTGCAGGTGGAGGAACGCTGGAGAACTAGCAGCTCTGGCCGCGATCGATGGATGGATGGATGGATGGATGGATGGATGGATGGATGGATGGATGGATGGATGGATGGATGGAAATGAAGCTATTTTGACCATTAAATAAACTCATAATAAATGCAACTTATATATGTTTTTTTCCTCTTCATGATGCTTTTTTTGACAGATGCAATTTATATTCTGGAGCGACTTATATGCCTGAAAATACGGTAAATGAAAAAAAAAGTACCATTTGCTTAATAAAAAGCTCTACAAACCATCCTTGTACTATTAGAGGGCTGTCCTCAAGATTTTATCCATCAGATAACCATTTTAAAAACTTGTTTTTGTTACATTTTACATGTTATATTGTTGGTTTTCTGTTCTACTGCCATGGTCTGTGTGAGAGAGAGAAAAAAAACAATCCAGGGTGATTAAATTCTGGGTTTTTTTCATGTATTTATTATTCCTAGGAATAGTTCAAAATTACAAAATGAAACTTGACAACGCTCTGATTCATGTGGGTAAGCTGCGTTTGGAGGAAGAGACAGAAAAAACCCGAAGCGTCGGAGCGATTCTGTGCTCTTTCTCCAAGCTCTTCTTACCGAGAGCGTTCCACCGAAACGCGATCGCTGGCCTCCAGAATTCTCTGCAAAGGGCGACAATTAAATTCCAAATTGGAATTGTTTCATTCTCTCTTATCGTGCCAAATCTTGGTGCACCGTTTAGGTCGAAAAAAAAAAAAGAATCAAGAATCGGGGGAGAGAGCGTCACTGAGGAAGGCGCAGCTCTGCGAGCGCCCGTCTGGGTTTTGTTACGTTTTGGTTCGTTCACGTCTTCTTTTCCGACCGCTAGTGCCTTTCATTGTTTCAAGGGAGAATCTTAGATCAGTGTTTTTATGTTTTTCTTTTTATAGCTGAGGACTTTGGATTTTAAACTAAACTGTGAGCAGCAATAAAAAGCAAAAAGGGTGTTTTTGTTTCCCCCTTATCTGCACGAGCGAGATGATAGTTTTGAAATGAGCTCAAACCGTGAAATTGTATTGAATTCTGCACGTCAGCGATCCGATGAATAAATTCAGGGGTATTAACAACAGGTTGTTTTTTTTTATTTATCAAACTTTGGGAGCCAGAGGAGTTTCTTTGGCCTCCTGTTATTGAACAAAATGCTCCTGGCACCTGTTCGGAGTAAATCAGTGTACTATTGGAAACATCTCTAGCTGTGTTTGGTGAAGGTAACGTGACATCAATAGTATTGTTGGGGAAAAATAAAAAGTGCAGCGAGCACATTTTATCTTTCTTTCTGTTCAATTAAAGTTTTTGTTGTTGTTTTTTTTTTTTATTATTATTCTTATTATCATTGTTTTTTTACATTGTTATTGTACCTGTATGTTTTCAGTAAACAGAAAACAGATTTAGCATCAACAAACTTGAATAGTGCCATTTATAGCCAATGCTCGTTTGTTGAGGCGTTAAAGTTACCAATATGGAAGAAAGCTACAAAATCAAAGTGCAATTCTGATGCTGTTTTACTTTTTATTTTTTTTAATTAAGTCGAGGTTTTCTGTTTGCTGGAAGCTATAGCATTGTGATAATAAAAAAAAAAAAGCTAGCTGTGCAAACTATTGTCATATTTCAGTATTGATCCATAATAAGAGTTTGATATCTTTATATGAA